TAAAAGTGAATATTGTCATTGCATACATGTTATTGTGAGAGCTGATTCAATAAAGATTAACCAAGAACTCATATAGAAGTCATTCCCATATACAAGTAGAGGCCTTTTTTATAACCTCTTCCATTTGTGCCATTATGATTGAAACCTCCCCGTTGATTAGTAGGTTGTTTTCTTGTTTGGAAATTACTTTGAGCCATATTAGCCTGAAAAGGTGCACTATCATTTCTTTTGTGCTTTTCTAATCGTTCCTCTTAAGCCATTAACAAAGCTTCCATTTGTTCAACAGTATATTCATCAGTTCGTGTAAGAACAGAAGTGATGAAGGGGTCATATTCTTCAAGCAACCTATCAAAGATAGCATCTATGTGCTCGGCTGTGTCAAGAGGTGACCCAATTGCTGCAAGAGTATCCACAATCTTTTTAATTTCAATAAGATATTGATGTATGGTCGTGGATTTCTTTGTTGCTCTTAGTTGAATCTTGAGTTGTTTCACGCGAGCCTTGGTTTGAGAGGCAAAATAGGTTTCAAGATTACTCCAGATTTGATGACACCATTCATATCCTACCATTCTCTCCTTGAATTGTGGTTCCATGCTTTCTAGTAACCAAGATTTGAGAAGATTATCTTGTTGATCAAAATCTTTGTATTCTGAACTGACTAATCCTTTTGCTTTTGCTTCTGCGGACTCATATTGAGGTGGAACATGAATAGCTCCAAGAATGTGTTTCTTGAGACGGTATCCTCTAATGGTAGAGTTTGCTTGTTGTCTCCAAGTAAGAAAGTTGTCCTCACTTAGTTTGGACAAGATAGGGGTTGAGAAGGCTTGAGGGGTGAACGATTTGGAATTTGCAGAAGCCATAAATTTTTTCCAGAAGAAAAATCAAGGGCTCTTGATACCATGTGAGATAACAGCTAGAGAGACGAGAATAGAGAATATGAATTTGACACATTGAACTGCTCTCATAACACATACAGCAAGAGTATTTATACAAAAAGATAATAACAGCTAAAATAACTTAACTAATATATAATCTATTCCAGCTCAGCTAACAAACTATATCTATTATAATAGAAAAATGACTTAATATCCTTTTTAGACCCTAGAAAATTTGAACCAAATATTATTTTAATGATAAGATAACATATCAAGATATGATACTTAAATTTACTTATCTAATACTTAAATTCTCAAGACTCATAAACTCATGAACAATTAATTATAAAAATCCTAGTCCTAGAACAAAGAAGACATATTACACTTTAAAAATGTGTTGACTTAGTTTAATTTTTTCGACAAATGGTGAAACAGGTATACGATCTTGTTATGCCTCGTCCTGATGTCGAAATATCGAGATGGTTAATATTAGATGCATGTTTTATTCGTCGTGAAAAAATATAGGACATGAAAGTCCTATATATTGCCTTTGGCCCTTATTTCGGTAAAACATGGTTGTATTTACATGATGATTATTTTTTTCGACAAATGATGAAAGAGGTATACGATCTTCTTATGCCTCATCCTGATGTGAAAAAATAGAGACGGTTATTATTAAAAGCATGTTGTATTCATCATGAAAAAATAGAGGGAATGAATGTCCTATATATTTTCTTTTGTCCCTCATCTCGGTAAAACTTGGTTGTATTTACATGATTATTTTTTTCGATAAATGATGAAAGAGGTATATGATCTTCTTATGCTTCATCTAGATGTCAAAAAATTGAGACATTATTATTATATGCATGTTGCATTCATCGTGAAAAAATATAGGGCATGAAAGTCCTATATATTTGCCTTTGTTCCTCATCTCGATAAACCTAGGTTGTATTTACATGATGATTATTTTTTTCGACAATTGATGAAAGAGGTACATGATCTTATTATGCCTCAACTTGATGTCTAAAAATCGAGATGGTTATTATTAGATGCATATTGTATTCATCATGAAAAAATATAGGACATGAAAGTCCTATATATTGCGTTTCTTCCTTATTTCGGTAAAACTTGGTTGGATTTACATGATAATTATTTTTTTCGACAAATGATGAAAGAGGTATACGATCTTCTTATGCCTCATCCTGACGTCAAAAAATTGAGACGGTTATTATTAGATTCATGTTGTATTCTTCGTAAAAAAAATATAGGACATGAAAGTCCTATATATTTCCTTTGTCCCTTATTTCGGTAAAACTTGGTTCTATTTACATGATGATTATTTTTTTTCGACAAATGATGAAAGAGGTATACGATCTTCTTATGCCTCATCCTGATGTTGAAAAATCGAGACGGTTATTATTAGATGCATGTTGTATTCATCGCGAAACAATGTAGGGCATGAAGGTCTTATATATTTGCCATTGTCCCTCATCTCGGTAAAACTTTGTTGTATTTACATGATGATTATTTTTTTTTGACAAATGATGAAAGAGGTATACGATATTCTTATGCCTTATCCTAATGTCAAAAAATCGATACGGTTATTATGAAATGCATGTTGTATTCAACGTGAAAAAATATAGGACATGATAGTCCTATATATTAACTTTGTCCTGTATCTCGGAAAAACTTTATTATACTTACATGATGATTATTTTTTTCGAAAAATGATGAAAGAGGTATACGATCTTCTTATGCCTCATCTTGATGTCGAAAAACAGAGACGGTTATTATTCGATGCATGTTGTATTTATCGTGAAAATATATAGGGCATGAATGTCCTATATATTTTCCTTTGACCCCCAACTCGGTAAAACTTGGTTGTATTTACATGATGATTATTTTTTTTCGACAAATGATGAAAGAGGTACACGATCTTCTTATGCCCTATCTTGATGTCGAAAAATAGAGACAGTTATTATTAGATGCATGTTGTATTCATCGTGAAAAATATAGGGCATGAATGTCCTATTTATTTTCCTTTGTCCGTCATCTCGGTAAAACTTGTTTGTATTTACATGATGATTATTGTTATCGACAAATGATGAAAGAGGTATACGATCTTCTTATGCTTCATCCTGATGTCGAAAAATCGAAACGGCTATTATGAGATGCATGTTGTATTCATGGCGAACAACATTCTCTTCACCAACATTGTCTCGTTCTTCAACTATCCATTCATCATCTAATTGAATATCATCAAATGGAAGAGTAATTGTTTTCCTTATTACTTTACTTTTTAACTTCAAGTTGTACATGACATACACCAAGTCATTCATTTTTTTTTAAAAAGATTATAAGGGACCAAATTAGGTTTTTAGCCTTTAATAATTAAATTAACCCTACTACGTTTTTCAGAATGGAACAACATAAAATTGTGAAAATTAAATGTATTTAAGTATTTTTCTTAATTTTGTGTAAAATTAATTTCTTCTACTTATATATAGATATAGAAAAAGTAATTAATATTATAATTTTAGCAATTAATGATGAATATTTAATAAACAGAATGATTAAAATTAAAAATTTTATACAATTAAGAGATTAAAATTGTAAAATTAAGATCAAAGAGATGAAAATCATAGAAAAAATATTATAAAATCTTTTCTTTACCATTATATTTTATTGAACCAGGCCAAGCTTGCAGCTATGCAAGAAAGATTTGGACGAGAGATCCACGTTTTTGAAACATTAGCTTTGGCTTCATCATCAAATGCTCCATTATCCAATGGTAATGGCATCTTATCTTTGACAATCCCAAGGCGCTAGTTAAGTTTGCATTTAAAATTTGAATTATTGATATTCGTATGTTGAATTTTTCTCAAAAATCCTGATTAAGATTACATTTCTTGTTGGTATGTTGTAGGAGAGGAGACCGATGACTTCTATGACCTTACTAATATTTTTAGTTACATGGAAAGTTTGTAGTTCATGTCAGTGGGATTTTTTTTAGGAATTGGAAGGTCTTTAACTTCCTTGTATGTATTGTGACAAGTTTTTAAGAAGAAAAATTTACTTAATGGATTCTGCTAGTCAAACATTATTTTATTTTACTAAACAGTGTATGTATTGTGACAAGTTTTAAAACTGCTATCCTTTAGGACAATTAAAAATTATCACTACTACAAGATGCATATTCTACATCGGTTCTCCAAAGGTATCTACATCGGTTCTAAAACCGATGTAGAATAGAGCGATGTAAAAAATGTATACATTTTTACATCGGTTCTGAAAAATCGATGTAGATTTAAGCATAAATCTACATCGGTTCTCCAGAGAACCGATGTAGATTTATGCTTAAATCTACATCGGTTCTCAAGAGAACCGATGTAGATTGCAGTTTTTTTTTTAAAAAAAAAACATGCTTATTTTTTTGATTATTTATGATTACTTATGAGCACGACCATTTTCAAGGATTTCAATAGTGCTTGGCAGTACCTGAAATCAAATAACAGCAAGCTCTACAAACATAGACTAATTTTTAATTGTCCTAAAGGATAGCAGTTTTAAAACTTGTCACAATACATACACTGTTTAGTAAAATAAAATAATGTTTGACTAGCAGAATCCATTAAGTAAATTTTTCTTCTTAAAAACTTGTCACAATACATACAAGGAAGTTAAAGACCTTCCAATTCCTAAAAAAAATCCCACTGACATGAACTACAAACTTTCCATGTAACTAAAAATATTAGTAAGGTCTACATCGGTTCTAAAACCGATGTAGAATAGAGCGATGTAAAAAATGTATACATTTTTACATCGGTTCTGAAAAACCGATGTAGATTTAAGCATAAATCTACATCGGTTCTCCAGAGAACCGATGTAGATTTATGCTTAAATCTACATCGGTTCTCAAGAGAACCGATGTAGATTGCAGTTTTTTTTTTTAAAAAAAAAAACATGCTTATTTTTTTGATTATTTATGATTACTTATGGAGCACGACCATTTTCAAGGATTTCAATAGTGCTTGGCAGTACCTGAAATCAAATAACAGCAAGCTCTACAAACATAGACTAATTTTTAATTGTCCTAAAGGATAGCAGTTTTAAAACTTGTCACAATACATACACTGTTTAGTAAAATAAAATAATGTTTGACTAGCAGAATCCATTAAGTAAATTTTTCTTCTTAAAAACTTGTCACAATACATACAAGGAAGTTAAAGACCTTCCAATTCCTAAAAAAAATCCCACTGACATGAACTACAAACTTTCCATGTAACTAAAAATATTAGTAAGGTCATAGAAGTCATCGGTCTCCTCTCCTACAACATACCAACAAGAAATGTAATCTTAATCAGGATTTTTGAGAAAAATTCAACATACGAATATCAATAATTCAAATTTTAAATGCAAACTTAACTAGCGCCTTGGGATTGTCAAAGATAAGATGCCATTACCATTGGATAATGGAGCATTTGATGATGAAGCCAAAGCTAATGTTTCAAAAACGTGGATCTCTCGTCCAAATCTTTCTTGCATAGCTGCAAGCTTGGCCTGGTTCAATAAAATATAATGGTAAAGAAAAGATCCTTGAAATTAATAATTCATTTAAGTGCAAAAACAATAAACCTGAACAAGGAAAAGTTGGCAACAGTGCAAATAAATAAAGAATACATATGCATTGGACAAATATCCACAATGCCTTCGTGAAAGATCACGTATTTTTAGAATCATTTCAGAGCATGATAATTGAACTGGGATTCATTATCAATAATAAAATATAGTATATTATATACAACCAAGATACATAAAAGTAAAAATTCATGAATAATAAGTAAAAACATAAACCTAATACTAGTGAAGACAGTGCTCATTGCCTGGTATGATTGCAAGCAAAGGCAAACCAACATACACCAGCAGCCAATTCCCTGTCTTATCTAATTTTTGGGAAGAGAAAAAAAAACCTCTTATTGTCAAAATCACATATACAGCTCGCCTCCGCCCTCTCCAACATCATTGAGGAAAATGAATTTCCATCCATGAAGATGAGCTCGAACGGCAATGTCCATGTCCTCAACAGTAGTCCTCTCCAGCCAACCACCAGCATCCTCCAAAGCTTTGAAAACCATAAAAAGGTCATGAACTTCAATTACCATTTCAAATGAGCTCCAATTACGCTCACATCCAGAAGAACTACAAGTCAAGCTTAAAACACGAATGGCAAACCTTTTCAATTCTCCCAGAACGGCCCGTTCTGAAATAAGAACGGGCCGTTCTGGTTGCACTTTTGGTTTGTTAATTTTGCAACTGAAACGGGCCGTTCCATATGCAAAAATTAACACACCACCAGTGCAATAGAACAGGCCGTTTTGAAACCAGAACGGACCGATCTGGTTTCAGAACGACCCGTTCCAAAACTGAGAATATAATATTCTTAACTTAATTGTGTTTTTGATCACTCAAGTATTATAATTATGCAATTTTGATCCCTAAGGTTTTAATTGAGTGATTTCAGTCGTTAAAAGATTACAGTTGTGTAATTTTAGCCTCACAATTTTTAATATATCAAATCATATATATTTATTATTACTAAATAAATAAAATTTATATATTATTAGTATTTTAATATTACTGATAAATTAATATCAATAATATTTTTACTATATTTATAAATAAACTAATAATTTGATAAATATAACTTAATATATATTAATATACTTTTACAAAAATATAAATATATAAGATCAGATATATATTTCTAATTAATATACTTATATTTTTGTAAAAGTATATTAATATATAACAAGTTATATTTATCAAATTATTAGTTTATCTATAAATATATTAATAATATTATTGATATAATATCGAAAATTATAATATACGTTAATTTGAATAGATAAATAATTATTTAATTTTAAAACATTATATATATATA